TATTGTGCACCCAACAGATGTTAACATGGAATTGCGCGTGGTAGGTTGTGAGCTCTTTCTGTCTCAACAGACACAACCTTCAGAATCCAGGCTACCAAAAAATTGTTTTTGTAAAAACATGTTGTGGTAGCCTGGATTCTTAAGGTTGTGTCTGTTGAGAGGTGACATTGTTCAGTAAGGTGTTGAAGTGATATTGTGCACCCAACAGATGTTAACGTGGAATTGTGTGTGGTAAGTTGCGGGCTCTTTCTGTCTAAACAGACACAGCCCGAAGACTCCTTGTAAATCTTTGGTAGAGATATGTAAGGGTCCCCATATGGGAGGCCCGAAACCCTTTTGTGAAATGATACGGAACTAGCCCAATACCACGGTCACAAAGCAAGCAGGGCAGAGCCTCCTAGCAAGTAAGGTTGGTGCAATGCGTAAGCAACCTAGATACAGACCTTAGCCGTTGCACTAGCAGGGCAACACAGTCCGGAGCAAGGCCTTTTGCTACGGGGCGCTACCTTGGACGTCCATGCGTCTTTGATCAGTGCTACAGCAGCGGAAGACGGCTAATGCACATGTATGCACTCCATGCATGAGGCACAGTACACATGGAAATTCACACCCCCCTCGACGCGGGGATGCATCGCAGAGAAGCGGAGTTAGGAGTCCATGTATACCGTAGGCTTCGCCTCATGTCCCGGTCAGTGAACAGCCGAAGAACCAAAGCCTCGAGCTTAGTGGGTCTATCTATTTCTAGGAGCCTAGCGAATTCACCGGGAGGAGTATCAAACGCATGCGGAGTTCGTCTACCCTAGCTACTGTATCATACCCATAAGTTCACGAGCGAACATGGGGAGATCATTCGGAGTTCGGTACGGAGAGTGAAACATATGTAGCTTAAGCCTCTCAGCGCAAAGGAGGAGCGCCATGGCGGCCGGCAGCAGCATTGGTCCAGAAAGCAGCGCCATCAACGGAAGCCGTGAGATCGCGATCTTCGCTCACCAACAGAGGGATGGCCCTTGCCACGCCCTTTGGGCTTTCCTTTGCCGCCCTTTCCGTCTCCTCGGCCACGGATGAGACCTTCCGCCTCCGGGGTGTCAGGCATCAGCGTGGGCGGAGCAGGCGCGCCAAATCTTCAAATCCAAATCGTGTGCCTCCCACATCTCCGCATAGCGCTCCAGTCTCTGCAGATCTCGACGGCGTGCCAGAACGAGGAGCCGCCTCGCTTCGTCCAATCGACGCAGTCTCACGCCATGCAGGAGGCAGCGGACGGTTGCGGATAGGGTTCTTGCCTCATCCCGTGCAGCTTCGTGGTGGCGTAGATGTAGGCGGCGCCATTGCAGCTGCAGGAGGAGGTGTAGGTGGATCAGGAATACCAAGCGAAGCAGCTGTAACAGGCAGCCGACCAACCCCAAACTCGTGGGACATTGAAGTTCTTCTCCTGTCAACGGATGATGCTTCGGAGGATGTATCGGAGAGGCGAAAGCATCTCGTTGCACGAATCTCGTGGATAGTTTCGGACTCAGCTTCGGATCTACCCCTGCACGTCTCCCGCCTTCCGGAATCTCTGTAACGGCATCAGTCATTTCAGCATCATCCGGAGCGGGCGCGTCAATCGCATCACGCATTCCCGTGGTTGCCTCATTGGCATCGGGCATGTCGGCATCATCGGGAGGACGAGCGACATACCTGGCCGAGCTACTAGGCTAAGGCTCTTCAGCCGACGCAGCAGGTTCGGTGCGTCGATGCTTCGCAAGGTTGAGGAGTTCACTGCGAGCCTCAAGACCCGCTTCACGATCCGGAGCAGATCTTCTCAAAGCTTCAATTGCATTTGCTGCGCGACGCGATTCATTTCGGACATCATCATTCGACATGTCTGTCGTGATGATAACATCCTCACTGCCATCCTGAGGAACGTTTCTGCGTTCATTCGGAACGCTTGCCGTTCCAACAGGATCCAGCTCAGTCCACGATGGTCTGTTTTCCGGAGTGATGTCAGTAACCACTTCACGAACAGGCTGCAGCAAATCTTCCGGAGATGGCAACCCATATGACATCGTGAACACACTTTTGTTGATCCACATCGTCAACTTTTCCGGAGTGAATCGGAAGCTTCGGAGAGGACACGGCGCTGATAACCTGTGAAATGCTACGGAACTGGCCCAATACCACGGTCACAAAGCAAGCAGGGCAGAGCCTCCTAGCAAGTAAGGTTAGTGCAATGCGGAAGCAACCTAGATACAGACCTTAGCCGTTGCACTAGCAGGGCAACACAGTCCCGAGCAAAGCCTTTTGCTGCGGGGCGCTACCTTGGACGTCCATGCGTCTTGATCAGCGCTACAGCAGCGGAAGACGGCTAATGCACATGTATGCACTCCATGCATGAGGCAAGGTACACATGGAAATTCATACCTTTATTTTGGGTATGTATGTATGTATGTATGTATACTCATGCATATGTAATGAAACATCGCCCGATTTGTGAAGATGCTCCGCGAGCGCGATGTTTGAAGAAGAAACGACGAAATTTTGAGCACGGGAGCCCAATTTTCTTCAAAATGTTCAGGATGCTCCGCACGGGAGCGCGATTTTGAATCAAAAACGACAAAATTTTCAGGATACTCTGCACGGGAGCGCAATTTTCTTCAAAATGTTCAGGATGCTCCGCACGGGAGCGCGATTTTGAACGAAAAATCAATGAAATTTTTGTGGATGCTCTACACGGGAGCGCAATTTCAGAACGCTCCGCACGGGAGCGCGATTTTCAACGAAAGATCGACGAAATTTTCAGGATGCTCTGCAAGGGATCCAATTTTCAAGATGCTCCGCACGGGAGCGCGATTTTCTTCAAGATACCCAGGATGCTCCGCACGGGCGCGTAATTTTTTTATGAAGTAGTCGACGAAAGACAACTCACTAACTAACCGGGATACGCCGCTCAAGAACGCGATTTTGAACGAAGAAATCGACAAAATTTTGAGGATGCTCCGCACGGAACCGCGATTTTCGAACGTTTTAAAACGAAAAAAACAAAAAGATCAAACTGTCTCGCGCGGGAGCGCGATTTTTGAGTAAGCAACATCATGAATTTTGAGCATGTCGGGGCGCGTCCACTAATTCAAAAGGAGAAGAGGCTCAAATTGAGAGATTATGACGTTATGAAACGATGAAATTGTGAACCCGTCCGCACGGAACCGCGATTTTCGAACGTTTTAAAACGAAAAATCACAACAAAAAAATCAAAATGTCTCGCGCGGGAGCGCAATTTTTGAGTAAGCAACATCATGAATTTTGAGGATGTTCCGGGAGAGCGATTTTCGAAAATCGCGGCGCGTCCAATTCGCACCCAGGTCCCTATAGCAAGACTAATTTAAAGAAGAACAAGTCAAACAAGTAATTTTCGAAAATTTAGATGTCACAAAACGACGAGTTTGTGGGAATGCCCCGAGCGAGAGCGCGACTTTTCAGCGATTTAGGACGCGTCCAAAATGTTTTCGCCACGGAAGAGCACGCAGGGATGGCGGGCGACCACGCATCAAACAATTAGAGTCCCACAATGATGTAACAAACAAACCCTACACAACCAGAAACCTTGAATACCATCCCTAAACAGCGTCAAAACCTTAACCTTGAACAACCTGCAAACCTTAAACCCAAAACAACCCTAAACTCTAAACAGACTCACACCCTAAACCCTACACGACACCCTAGCCCCTAAACAACCCCAAACCTTCAGTCCTGGAATCTCCTAAACCATAAACCTAAACAAAAACAAACGTTAACCTTCAGCTTGCCCTACAGAACCGCAACCTGCATACCGTCTAATACCCGACATGACCCCAAACCCAAACCTTGAACTCCTAAACAACCCCACACCCCAAACAACCGTGAAGCTTAAAAAGTCTCCCACCCTCAATGAACCTTCATATTGAAAAAAAACGAAACAACCCCGAAACCCTGAACAGCTGCAAAACCTAAACCCTAAACAATGTCAAATCTGAAACTCTAAAGAAGCCAACCCCTTAAACCATGAGCATCCTCAAACCTAAAACGCCCAACAACACAAAACCCTAACAAATCCCAAACCGACAACTCAAAATAAGTTAGACGAAACCCTATACAATCCCAAGCCTCAAACTCTAAACGACCCTACGTTACCCTGAACAACCCCAAACTCTAAACCCTAATCTTAAAAAAAAAGCCGTAAAGAACCCCAACCCGTATACCCTAAAGGATCCAAATCCGAAACAAACCCCAAACCCTGAACCCTCAACAGCCCTCAACCCTAAACCTGAAGCCCGAAATCCTTAAACTCTGCACGACCCCAAACCTTAAACCCTGAGCCAGCTCAAACCTGAAACCCTAAACCGCACCAAACCCAAAAGAACCTCGAACCCTAAACCCCAAACGACGCCAAAGCTTAAATCCTCGCAAAAATGTCAACCCAAAATAAACGACAAGCCTAACCCAAAACCCCTAAACCACTCCGAGCCCTACACCATTACAGAAATAAAGAGCTTGCCCTGAAGCCACTGTACCGGAAATCATCCATGACCCGAAACAATCCCCACACCCTAAACCCTAAACAACATCCTCAACAACCTCAAAAAACTTTAAGCCCTAAACAACCACTACACTGTCAACAACCACAATCCCCAAAGCCTAAGGAAACAAACCGCAACCCTACTTGAACCCAAAACAACCCCAAACTTTCAAGAGCCCCAACCCCTAAACTCCAAACCCTGAACCCTTAACCCTAAACAACCCCAAAGCCTGAACCCGAAACGACGAACCTCCGAAGCTGGAATTGTGAAAGCGCCTACACACTACACAACCGCAAACCTTATAACCCAAAACAACCCCAAACCCTGAATCCTCAACAACCCCACACCCCAAAGCCTCAACAATCCCAAACCCTACAATCTACACAACCACAAGCCCTAGACCCTAAACCACCCCAAACGGTCGGGATCTGATCTGGGTCCTGAGTGCCGGGTCCGGGCGGTCCGAGTCCGGGTTCCGGTCGTGGGGGAGTCGGGGAGGGTTGGGGAGGTCCTCATTGCCAGAGACACGAAACGTAAAATGTTGGCAGGCCACTGAAATTTTGAAATGTGGTCCGTGCTTCACAATGTTGTGATAGCAAACGATTCGGCTTGTTTGTTTGCTTGGTTCCTTGCATAGCTGACTGTGGACAGCACTGGACTGGTAGCTCATTGGCTCAGCTTGGCCTTTTGAGCTCGCCAGCTCTTCCAGCTCGTCACCAGACTGGAAACTGCGAAGCAGGCACTACTTCTGTGCTGCCCCCAGCGGGCGGCAGGACAGCGTGCGGCCGCACCAAGGCTGACCCCTCTGGGTTGTTGACCGCGAACTAGCCGATCGCTTCGTTGCCTCTTACTGCTCCTTCCCCGTTCCCTCCCGTACTCCCATGTGTTTAGAGCACATGCATCCTCAGGCTTGCTTCAGCCGCGGAACCTTTGTTTTGAGGCTCGAACCAAGCAAGAGTCAATTAGTCCTCCTTGGACCTTCGACGCGAAATGGGTTCACATTCTAAGCTGAAAGGAACGCCCAGAATGTACGGCGCCTCTGTCCAGGCTTCGCTATCTGAGAAGCGGTCCAGCCTTTGGAGGTGCTATGCGTCTTTCAGGGGGTGGGTCTTTCGGGGTTTTGTAGTTTTTCATGCCCAAACAGACTGAAGGGTCTACAACCTCCAAGGCAAACAACTTAAGTCAGGTCAACCTGAAGTGTGGACAGCGCCTCGGCACAGACCTACCTGCGCAGCGTGGCGCGCGAATGAGCTGCTTTGCATAGATTCACGTACTTTGCCGAACATGAGTGGCGCTGCAGGAATCAGGTCGGTAGCCATTACGTGACGCTTACATTACTTCCTGGTTAGAATTCTTCTGCTTGTAGTACGACGATGGTACTGGAGATGCCCAGGTTGGACTCCTTCCCCTTGTAAAAGTTTCGTATTGTACTGCAGATGCCCATGCATTTCGTCCTACTTGGATTTCTGGTGGTTCAGCTTCTTGTACTGTTTACGCCTTCAGGGCTCCTCGTTGGAATTTGCGCTGAGCTGCTGGTAGTGCAACTTTGTAGTGGAAACGCTTGCCTACAGCTTCTGGTTGGAATTCGTCCTGCTAGTGCTGCTGCGGCACTTACCGTATGAAAGCTGTGCTACAAGGTGACGAATTCCGAGCAAAAGCTAGGAGAATGCGCTTTCACTACAAAAACCGCACTATCACGATACAAGTCATGGGTCTCAGCTTGGCAACACCATGCGCGTCGTAGTCTAGCAGCTGAAAAACTTAGTCGGAAAGGGTGTACGCGATTCTCCTTGGCTCCATACATGGCACGCAACGGCGACAGTGCGGCTAATCGTACCGCCTGCAGGCATCTAAATGCCACTCGGTTGATTGGAAACAGCTTGCGCCTTGGGACTTTCACTGCGTAGGAAACCTTGAAGCAGTTGCACCACAGACCTCGTGACAGAGCCACCCTAGCATTGGGCGCAAAAAAACGTGCCTGAAAGCTTTCCCGCTAGATAAGGCACCGGGACCGGGACACCAGCGCACTCTCTGGGATCTCTGCAGCCCATGCCCTGAATAAGTCACAGAACCAAAACATCAGCAGAAGCTATAGCACAACAGGGCACAGCTGGCCTGATAACAACGCAGAGTCGGACAGGAAGGAGAATGCCGGGAGCCTCAAAAAACAGGCTAGAGAAATCAAAAGAACTCGGGCTTGGCTGCTTGGCTCCAGGCCTGAGGGCCCAGGTGCGGCACCAGGTTTGCAATGGGGCCAAAGAAGCCCAACATCACTTGGAACCTAAGCTCCATTATGTTCCATAGTAGGCATCGCGGCAGACCAGGCAAATAAGAATCCGACTGCAAGTGAGGTTTAAGTTGCGATTGGCACAGGGCCAGGAGCGACAGGAACATATCCTGCAGGATGGGGTTAGCACAGCAGGAACAAATGCAGCTGAGACAAAGCTGGAGCTGTCCTTCCTTGCTATCAGCTCAAACGGGTCGGTGGGCGAAGGGGGTTGTGCAATCTCCTCCTCATGACGCTCTAGCAATTTCAGCCATCTGAGCGCACAGCAGCTGTACTTTCTTTGGCTGGACTACATCGAGACTCTTTCTCCCCTGCCTGCATCCTTCTGGCAATGTGCCTGGATGGAATGTAAGGCTGAATGTTGGCTGTCAAAAGAGGACATGTGAGGACTTGAAGTGTGTATAGATCGCCAGGCTGCTCTAAGAGCGGCTGATCCAATGGAGGCTGCCCCAAAGCACGGATGCCTAAAGCTTTCAAGCTGCGTCATGTTTGACGAAGCAACGAAATGGGGGCTTCAGACATGGAAATTGCGCTTCAGAGGGGTGAGAAAGCAGCACACGCCATACTCCATGCAAGCTTGGCCGCGAGCAAGACTCGCCTGCATACGGTGCTCACACGACTGATTCGCCCGAGAAGTTTGAAGCCTGATGGAAGCCTTTTTGTGTCGAAGCCTGGAAAGCCTACAGCCTTTTGTGGATCACCTGTCCTGCTTGGTGCAAATCCGTCTGGCACTGGGGTCCTGGCAACTTTCTGCAATCTGCAACACTCGGCAACTTAACACTTGTCAGGTTGACCCACGAGCTGATCTTCAGGATCCTCAAGCCAGGCATGCACCTTGCGGATACTTTCAGGCACATCCTTGAAATCGCACATGCGGAAGCAGAGGATGGCATGGGTGGCTTAGTTCAGCAGCCTCCTGCTCGGTCAGACGCAAGGCCGCACGGCACGCAAGCCTTAGCTGCAAGGAGATCCTTGCGAAAGAGATGACTCAAAAAGGTGCATGCAGGGTGCATGCAGGGTGCAGTGTAAAGGCCAAGCTGAAGCTTCAAATTGGCCACGGCACTCGCAAAGATCTCCCACTCCATGGCTGCGAACGAACTCCCCCTTGGTCGATCTGGGAGCCACGGCACTTGCGCGCCAAAAAGAGCCAAGCCATAAAGCCTGACACCGATTCTTCCCACAAGGTGAGCGCATCACGAACTGGCTGTGGCATGCCGCTGCAGCCTCTCAGAGCGAGGCTGTCCACTCAAAGAATATCTGTTGTCGATGCTTCCTTTTGCCTCCTGGGCGATGCTTTGCTGTTTCGGCTGTGGACCCTGGCGGATGGACACCTGAGACAAGCAGTTCTTCCCGTTTACAGCTCAAGTTGTTACAGCTCTGTGCTATGCCCCCGCCGTGTTGAAGCCATGCGCCAGCATCAGCAACCTAACAGGACCGTCTGTCATGTGTGCTCAGCACTGCCATGCATGTGGACTGGAATTCAGCAGTCTGCACAGAAACCAGAGCGTTCTCTGTGTCTGTATTTGGCGCGTCCTCTCCGTGAGACACGGCATCAACAGAGCTGAGGCCAGGGCGAGCTCCTCAACAAGCCCTCCAGCCACGGCCTTAACCTGGTGCTCAGCAAGATAAGCAAATGGCAACAGGCCATTTCTGCCCATGTGCCATAACTAGCTTCCTTGTGCACTAGCTCCTGCGTAACTCCTGCCTACGCAAAAGGTTGTCATGAGCACTATACAGCTGACCAGTTCGTATAGGGAATGGTGCAGAAAAACTCTGTAGCGACACTCGGAATCCGGCTCCTCTGACACCTGAAGCCCTGTCAAAGTTCTCAAGACCTGGCCGCAAAGCACGGTCAGTTTGCAGACACAACGCAACAGACACGCTGAAGAGAAGATATCCACCATGAACTTTGAGGAACATTCTGCCAGCTGTTTGAAATGATTTGGAATTTCGACCGTCAGGCAAAGGAAGCTGCTTTGAGACGCAGCCGCCATCTGAGTGTCGTCATACCCGTAAAAAATGTGCAGCCTTGGCCTATGGCAAACAAGTGTATAGAAACATGCCCGTCATGATGCAGTAGTTTGTTTCCTTCCGCTACGTGTCTATCTTGCTGACACATCACGTTCAAACAAACATGAAAACATGAGTGACTCGGCAGGACTTGAATGCGGAACATGGGATGCCTATAGGCGTTTGCGATTGAACGTACTGGTTTGGCAAGGAGACCATGAGAGATCTTTGCGTCCATGCTTTGCCTCGCAAAGGTGATGAGGTAGTCTCACCCTCACTGCCCCACTGCCCCTGCTTTGGCCAATCAGGAATGAGGCCTAAACCTTGATCTAGAACGCGAGACCGAAGCGCTACAGCCTCTAAACTAAACACGCCATGTATACCAGAGACAACAGTCTTCAGATAGTCTTCAGCTTTAACACGGGAAGCCAAGATAACACACAGAGAGGGTGGCAAGCGCGGTCAGCGATAGTAAGAGCTGGTGAAGTTCCCGGCCAAATGAGAAAAAGGCGTCTTGTAGCAGGAATTGTGCTAGTGGATTGCTAGTGGTGGCACACCTGGGCCGCAGACCCAACACGATCCAAAATCCGAAGTCCTCAACCCTGAACCTCTCTGGCACGAGCACAAGCACGGATCCATCAAAGGTAGAACTTCAACACATTGCTAAAACACAGTTAGCATGAAAGAGCACGCTTCGATCACAACGCTGATTGCTTTCCCTTCAACTGCGGCAAGACAAGTCTGACGAGCATGTGTGTAGTCTATAAACAGCTAATACTAATACGCAAAAGCTTGCAAGAACAGCCATAGGTCTTGGTGGCTTCACTAGCATTGCGGAAAGATAAGGGGATCCACCTCGACACTGGTGTGCAGCACGGCACTCCTCAGCAAAGGCACGCATCAAAATGCCTGGTGTCAAGTGCTAACTCCCAGGCATCTGCTGGCAGCCCAAAACTTCGAATCGGATAGCGGTTGAGCTCATCTGTACTGGCAAATGCTTTTTGGACCCTGCACGCCCAAAACCCTCAACAACCCCAAACCCTAAAGCCTAAACAACCGCAAAAACCCTGAACCCTCACCAACCCCACACCCCAAACCCTCACCAACCCCAAGCCCTAGACTCTACACAACCACAAACCCTGAACCCTAAACCACCAACCCAAGCGGTCGGGGTCCGTGTGCCGGGTGCCGGGTCCGGGCGGTCTGAGTCCGGGTTCAGGTCTGGGTGCAGGTGCAGGTGAAACACAAGAAAGGTGATATGTTGGGAGGCCCAGCTGGCCACTGAAATTTTGAAATGTGGACAAGGCTTCAATGTTGTTGCATAGCTGGTGGACAGCACTGGACTGGTAGCTCATTGGCTCATCTTGGCCTTTTGAGCTCGCGAGCTCCTCGAGAAAGAACACGATTTGCAGCTCAGGAGGAGGCATCCTCTTCCTCGGTCTTATCCTTTTCGTCTTTTTTGTACAGGTAAACTTGGTCCTGACCCCACGACTCTGAACAATTTCCCAATGCTGGGCTGCTGTTTCACTTGTGATTCACCGCGGCAGCTTGATCCACAGCCGGTTCCGAGGCAGTCTTTCACAACATCTTCCTCTTGGTTGCTGGTCCGTGGCCTCCTATACGCCGGCTGTTTGCCAGCTGTGTCCGGCATTTGATGTCTTTAACACGATGCTTCGCAAAAAATGGAAACTGGCAGACAGCTCAAGGCTCTGTCTGCCTTTTCCACAATCTGCTCGACAACTTTTGTCACCCACCTTTGCCTCCTCATTGCCTTGGAGGGTTCACTACACCTTCAAGAAGACCAAGCGCAATGAATCAGAAGCCCTCCACCTTTCAAACAGTGAGATTTTTCGCTCCAACATTTTGGAAAGCAGGGCTCTGTGTTTGCCATTCCTGGTTGCTGCGCAATCTGCAAGTGATGATATACGCCACCCTCGCATAAACATGTTTCGCTGATGTGGTCAAGCTTCCCAAAAAGCTCCTTCGCGTATCATCCCGCCGGTTGCAAACCCGCAGTCAAGATTGCAGGATGGCTCTTACCATCAGCAATCACCTTTATGCTTGGAACGGAATGGCAATGACGGCATATCGCTGGAGCCCGGACCCATTATTGAAGTCTCAGTAGGGAACCTAACAAAATCCGAACACCAGGTATTGGTGGACTAGCCGAGTACGAGTACAAGCCAGCAAAGCTTGGGCAAGCACACGTTGGCCTGCGTGAACGCGAGAGGATGAGCCTCCACTCTTCCGTGTCTGAATGATCCCATCCGCTATGATTTTTGTCTGATCCCTACATTTGCCAGCTGGCCCGACAGTTCAGGACCTGGCATGAAACAGTAGAGCCCACCACTTCAACACGGACTTCAGGTTCTTCAAGAAGAAGGGACCTTGGGTATGTGCTGATTTGTCTATTTGGCCTCTGTCTGCAAAGAAGGACAATCGCTTTGGAGCCGGCAGCGCAGGTCAAGTGAGACCGAAATTGCTTGCCATGAGGCCACGAAGAGGAGCTTACGGCCCCATACTAGTCGCAAGGACTTGCACATTCTGAAGTACTGGTGAGAAGTTGATGCTCAGCCACCTGAGCGTGTTGACCTTGAGAAAACTGGAACTTGAAAGGAGTGATCTGGCGCAACATGCTTTGCCGACCTGAGGTAGCACAGAACACGGGAAACTAATCTGACAATACATAAAATTGATCACTCTTTTCTCTACCATCTTGGGCCATGCTGCTGTTTTGCGACGTCTGCGGGCTGCTTGTACAATGGTCGGCTAGGACGTGGGGGCCTCACGGAGTCTCGTGCGATGAGAAAAAGAAGCGCCACCCGTGACAAGCTGCTCCTCCCAGGATCCTGCTTCACGGGTGCTTCGAGATTTTGGATCCTTCCAGGGTAAGACTTGGTCACCCTCCCCTTGTGAATGGAAAGAGATGCAGATGCAGCAAGGCGTCCTGTTGCCAAGGAGCGAGAGTACAGAAGCGTGTCCGGCGGCACGTGCCCAGTCCAGGGGTTTGAATCCTTCGGCATCTGGCACCTTCAAGGACAGCAGCTTCAAAGTGCTCCAACAGCGGCACGCTTGTTTAAAATGACAGGCGCTGGGC